TCTTGTTAAGAATTTGTTTCTCTCCCATTTGTTACATCCTGTTTTAATTTGATAAGCAGTTGTTTCTTGTGTCTTGCATTTGACACAACAAGACAAGCTTCCTTTGTCTCTTTGTTCTTGATTAATTTCAGATGTTCTTGTTTCCCAAGTGTTTCCTTTCCCCTCTCGTTAGCTGTGTATGTAATATATTGCGCCAGTTTCCGTTTGTCCTTTGGCAGAGAGTCAGTTTGTCATTTCTCTGTTTGGTCCCAAGAGTTTAGATTCTGCAGCTTTCATGGAGTTGTAACCTCATTGGTTGGTTGGTTTTGTCTGTGGGTCTTGGACTTCGGTAGTTTTTGCCACCCCTATTACCGACAAAATCAAAATAAAATGTATTAGAGTCAGGGTGGACATTGTTCTAGTTTTTTTGTGTTTCTATTTTTTTGAAACTATTGAAACAGTCTATTTGATGAACCACCTCCAGCTGGTAGCTCGCGCTGCCAGGACACACTTCTTCCAGAGCAAACACTTTCAGTTCTCACAGAAGGAAAATCACTGATATATTAATGATGGTTCAGTTACACTCAATTATTTTTGTCATGCATATCGTCAGTTCCTCTCCTTGTAATTTGGGTCTTTCCCACCAGAGAGAAGGAAACAAGGAAGCAGCACAAGGAAAGAGGAATTTAAAAAAAAGGCAACAAAATAAAACATCTTCACTTTGTTGTCACAGCTCCACTGACTGTTTATCATTTGTTACAGTCTGTCGCATTTTCTGATCTCAGATGTGAAATAAATACATAGTGTTCATGAAAACTGTTTTATTTAAGCCTACTTTCAATGAAATTTAAACACGCACTTGAGTTTTTTGATCTTTTTATTTATCACACATTAACGGTGAGGGACAGAAAGTTTGAATATGCAACCAATCATCTTACAAAAAATCTCACCAGACTAAGAGGTGCTCCTCACACTGTGGTTTGTATATTCATGCTGTGCTGCCTCTTTAGTACATAAACAATGTAGGATAGACTCTTTCTCTGTCTATTAGATACATTTTTGAAATTGCAATTTCCCTCATGATGACTCAGTGATCCTAATTAGAGAAATGAGAAAAGCCCTAAGTGTCAGAGAAAGCTGTGACTGTGAATCAGCATGACCACATACGGGACCTCCTCTAAGATGAGTGAAGCCATCATTAATCCTCCCTGTGCTTCCCCTACTGTGACAAATGAAACATACACTCAGTTTTCAGATTAAATATCTTCATGTCTAAAGCTGAGACAGTAATTTTGATACCTTCTGCAAGTTGCAATAACATATGCATGAAACATAAAGGTAAAGCAGGTACAGGTAAAATTCAAATCCAAATTTTAAAAATAAACTGCATATTAAAGATTATTTGGTTCCCTTGTGATTGTCAACTGATTCGATGGAATTGTGGGTAATGTAGTTGGAAGAATTGTTTCAGCACTGAAGTTTGATTCATGTGTTATGAGCTGAGTAGCAGCAGCAGTGGTTTTTCAACCAAATCTATTCGTCCTTTTCTTCCCAGATATCCAGCCTGGGATCCTGGAGCCTGTCCTGGAAGCAACTAAATCCTGTCAGTTATGATACTAACAGCAGGTGATGGGAAGTTTTCCTGCCCACTATACAAACTCACTGGTAAAATACAGTCTTTGCTACAATAACACCTGTGTTCAGTTAACATTTAGGCCTAAACTACAATTTAAAAAGTGAATTTTTATACTTAGATTACCTTTTAAGTCCCAACTTTGAATCTTGTTTCAAAGTCTGGGGAACTCTAATGCGACTACTTTTAGCACTTGCAGATATGTATTTATTAAATGCTTTTAATTACACACTGTAATTTAGCTGTATGCATATATAAAGATATTTAATGTGCATAAAAAGACAATAAATATTAGTGTTAAAGTGTGATCAAAACATAAAATATTTTTTTTAAAAAAGGCCCCAAAATGTGTCTGAGAGGATTTAACTGCATAGACCTCGAGATGGTTTATAAAAAGGTATAAATCTTAATATGACGTTTGTTATATTTTGTGAATAATCACTCCTTTATTTGTTATGCAACAATACAAAATGATTTACAGGCATAAAAGAATTTCACAAATACATAAATAAACACAAAAATATCGTTATTTGCTTAGAACTAAATAACAGCAGGTGATGAATGAAACATTAAGTGTTTATATGATGCTCATCAATCCTAAATTTTGACCTCATATACCATTCAGCTGTTTTAAAAAGCCACAACTGATGAAAAATCAAGAGCAGGAGATTTGTCATCAACCAGTCACCTGCCTGTCATGCTGGGACCACACCACACAATATCTTTGTGTTTAAAGGGAACCTGAAATGCTACATATGAAAAGGCTAATTTATACTATTGAGCCTTGTTCTCAAAAACAGACATAGATGTAAAATTATCCTTGAATTTTGCTGGAAGTTATAGTTTTAAAAACATGTTTAGCTCCATCTTCTGTCAGTGCAGAACGTGACGTCATGTGATCGGTTGGTTGCAGGCTAATAGACTTAAATTAGTTTATGTTAGCTAACTAGTGACAGAATCGATAACTCAGAGGAAAAGTAATGATACTAAAACTAAAAATCAGTCTAAGAGGATCACTTCTATGCTGCCTCTGACTACAACAATGAGCTTCATGTTAAAACCAAGAATATACTGTCCACTTTCACTGTATGTCTCTTTAGCAGGACGTGGCTGGTCGCTGTTTGGCTAGCTGCACTCAGACAGGAAAATCCACCTGTTAGTGTTCGAGTTTGTAAAGCACTTTCTAAATGAGGACTGTGTGGAGGAGAGCCTGTTTGAGACAGGTGACAGGTGCTCTCACCGGGCTGACATAAACTGGTTTTTCCTCCTCTGGCCAAGTTTACCGAGCAGCGCAATCAGCTGATGCATTCAGCACTTTTTATGTCATAAGATAATCTTTCTCTTCTTGAGCACATCCAGACAGTTTACAACATAACAGCCCATTTTTCCTGTGGACATGCTGATGAGTGTTAGGGTTTCTAATACCCTTTGGTAAAAAAAAAAATACCTGTTATGTTTTTGGTCTGATACTCATGTAGTAACCTGTTATGTAGTAAACTGGTTGTGTTTCGTTAAAGAGAGAAAAATTTTTTGTTGCATAAAATAGTGCTGATGGCATCTTGCCAATATCTGCTTTGCAAGCTGATGTCACGGCTCAGTACACCCGACCTGGTGAGGAACAGGCTCTGCTCCACACAGTCCTCATTTACAAAGTGCTTTACAAATCCAAACATTACGACTAACAGATTAATTTTCCTGTTTGGTGCAGCTAGCCAAACAGCAGCCAGCCACTTCCTGCAAAAGAGACACACAGTGAAAGTGGACAGTATATCCTCAGTTTCTTAACATAAAACTCATTGTTGCAGTCAGGGGCAGCAAAGAAGTGATCTCGTTAGAATGATTTTTAGTTTTAGTATCATTACTTTTCCTCCTAGTTATTGATTCTGTCACTAGTTAGCTAATATGAACTAATATAAGTCTATTAGCCGCAACCAACGAACTAACCAGATAACGTCATGTTCTGTACTGACAGAAGATGGCGCCAAACATGTTTTTCAAACTTTAACTTTAAGCACTTGTTTCTTAAATCCAGCTTCACAGACAGTTTTACATCTATGTCTGTTTTTAGAGCAGGGCTCAATAGTGTAGATTAGCCTTTATTTGTGTAGCATTTCATGCTTCTTTAAATAAAGCCGACTTAATCCTTGCTGTGACTTGACTCATAGGCGTAATTAAATGTCTAATTTCTCTCAGCTCTATGTGAAGGACCAACCCAAGGAGTAGTAGTGGAGTAGTATGTCACAAGATTTGAGTCTTATGGGAAGTCAGCATTTGTACTGTATTAGTTTGTACTACACTAGTTTTGCACACTTGCCACATAGCGACACTGTAACCTGAAAACTACGCCTAAGTCAATTCAGTGTTAATTTGAAAGTCATATAAAGCCTTATAAACGTGAGTGACCAGCCTCCACCTGACTGATAGCAAATAATAAAAGTATACATTTAAAAAATCCATACGCCTGTTTTCAGATGAGCATGGATCTTTCATTAGTTACTGAAATCATCTTAGAGGCCTCAGTTTGGTCAGCCATTATTAGGGTATATGGTGTGGTCTCAGCTTTGGGCTGCTCTGGTTCGATTAAAAAAAAAGACAGCACTATCTGATCATTTCTGTAGATGTTTGCTTAACAGGAAGAAGCTAAATTGAAACTCTATAAAGTTGCCTCCCCTCCACATGTCCTCTGGAAACCACACCTCACCATCTGCTTTCAAACTTTTCATCCGTCAGTGGCGTTTAAGGAGTTTGGACAAGAAGCCAGAAGAGGCGGGACTGTCGGTCTGCACCTCTTCTTTGGCTTTGGCCTTCTCTCCGAGGCCAAGCTCCCCCTCCAATTGCTCCAACTCTGACTGGTCCAGCAGCTCAAAGTCCTCCACCTCACTGTCCGACTCCTCGGTCAGCTCCAGCAGCCTGCTCGATTCTGTGAGTCCCGCCCGCTTGGGGTCTTCAGTTGGCGTCATGAAGCTGACTGCTGCTTCTATTCTCTCCTGGATGGCAGCTGTGACTGCAGCGGTGATAACTTCACCTGCCATCTGGTTGACCAAATCGAGGGCATTGGTGGACTGGTCTTGAGGTTCGTGCTTGGATTTGATTGGATCTTGGAGCCGAGTTGGAGGTGAAGCAAGGCCGAGGCTGAGGTCGTCGTCGTCGTCGCCATTGGTGGTCATGCCATTATCAAGTGAAGGGAATTCAAGTAGGCCACCAATGAACGGTTCTTCTCTGTCAAAGTCTGATCAAAGTGGCCCCGACACAAAAAGGAAGAAACACCAGTTACCTAAATATGCGAGACACAAAGTAGCTCTCGGCGTCAGTCAGAAGAGCGTCAAATGAAACTTACCCTCTGAGTTCTCAGTCTGTGGTGTGTGTCCCTCTGACAGGTTGAAAGTACCATTGTCTGTCCATGTGACATCTGACACCTCTGTGTCCGAGACAGACATCTCTTTACACACTGTGGAATCGAGCTGGGGGAGAGAGACACACGCAGACGTCAGATTTTATAGTGCAAACCCAGATCTGAGCTGGTAATTGGTTGACTCAGACAAAGTGGTGACATCTGGGACTAAAAGATGAAGCCGCATAACAACTAAGTGCATGAAACTACAGAATCCTGAAGTCACTTGAGGCTTACAAGGCATACAACACATTCTTTCTGCATTGCATTCATTATATTTGCACAGTGTTTTGAACGCTCTAATAGTGAGCGTGACAGGGAAGTGCACTCAGTGAATTCAACCAGCAGCTCAGTGTTTGGCATGAGGAGAAAAACGTTAAAGCATTTCTTGCCATTGAATTTGTCCCATGCTGACGATGGTGATGTGGATCATGTGTACTGAATTTTACTAGCTTTAACTGGATGCTATCAGTCAACAGAGGCATAATTACATTAAGATGAGAAGATGATTAGCCAACCTTTGGAAACATAGAGGAGAGGTCTGACTCAATGCCTTCTTTCTCATTC